AAGAATTATCCAGTTCCAACATATTATATAATTACATACTTTTCTTTTTGGGAGAGACTAGGCACCTGGAAGAAGAGTGTTTGACTCAGTTATTACCCTCCTTCACCAGGAAATACATACGCACATTGATATTTACTGAGTTGACTTCTGCCTGAAGAGATTGTGATTGTGGAAAACAGAGTAACAATTCTTACCGCTCAGTTGTAGGATTCCAGGTTTTAAGGGGACAATGGGGTACAGGGGAAAGCACACTGAATTCAGAATTGGGAAACCTGATTCTGATGGTGCCTCACAGGTGTTCTTAACCTGGTGTGCATGAACTTTTTTTTTAGTTTGATAACTATGTTTCAACATAATTGGTTTACTTTGTAATCTCATGTATTTTGTGTTATGCATTTAGAAACATTATTATCAGGTGTCCATAGGCTTCACTAGATTATGAAAGGGGTTTGTGCCACCCACAAAAAAGTGTTAAGAACCTTTGTCTATAACATTATGATTTTAAAATAAGGTTCGAGAAGGTCCATAATTTCTAGATAATACCAAAAATGTTTGGTACGGAAGAAACCCTAATGGACTATTTTATTTACTCCTTTCTCTGCATACTTCAGTCAACTGCTTAGCTCTACTTAATTGAATGAAGTGTATCTCTTACTAGAAATATGGTCTTATTATACTAGGATATTCATCCTGATGGGCAGTACCTAGATTTTAAGAAGGCAGTCATTTTTCTAGTCTACTCAAGATTATACTTACCTGTGGATTATCTAGACCCCCCTGGTTTAACCTATTCCTATGCTCTGCATGTCACCTTTCCTATAAACCTTTTCAGAAAGCAAAAATAGAGGGATAAGGGAAACATCAAATGTAATATAGATTTTATTTGTAAGTAGCTCTAGGTAGGGATGGAAAGTGCTAGACAGATCTAATGTAATTAGAGGATTTTCCATGCATGTCAATTATCCAACCCCACCAATCTGGAAAATAAAGAACTAGGGATATTTGTGTACAAAGTCACTAACCTTAGCTTTTACATGATGGTACAATGCTTCTGATCAGCCTAGTCTTGTCCACTCTCCTTTGCCAAGAGGTAATCTCTGCCCATCCCTTATACCCCTGCATAAGAAAGCCTAACTGGAGATTCCAGGCCCCTTGAGATTAGAGGATTCTTGGGCTGGGAGTCTTTGAGAGTAGCCTCAGAGGAGATGTTCTCTTCCTAATAGCAGCCTTTATATAGCTTAGTCAGCTGGAACCTTGGATGGAAATGATGAGAGCCCTGAAGGGAGTATTTGGAGGTGATGGTTCTCATGGGGAAGTGGGAAGAAAAGGAAAGAGAAATATTAGGAAGGAAAATGATCAAAGGGAGAGGAAAAGAGGAAGAGAAGAAACAAAGATGGAGAGTAGTAGATTGACATAAGGGAGAGAGAGAAGGAAAGAGAAAAAAGGTTAAAGAAGATTAAAGAAGAAAGCATATGGATAGAACCTTTGACTGTAATTTTTATTCATTTTATTAGTGATATTGCTGTGTAATGAACCTTCCTACTGCCTATATTGTGCTCTCTGATGGTTTCTGATTTATCCCAATGATAAGAAGACTTAGAAAAGTCTGAAGTTTCCCATGGCTGGATCAATCAATCAATCAACAAGCAGTGGTAACCATTTGCTATGTACTAGGCACTATGCTAAGTCCTGAAACAGTTCTTGTCCTCAGAGTGTATATCCTACAGGAGGAGATAACGTGCATACATATGAAAATATACAGAATATACCCTAAAATAATACAAATTTTAAGTTTAGGAGAGACAGCCCTAGAAGCTGAGTGGACTAGAAAATGCTTCATGAATGTAACCACTGAATTAATCCTTAAATTAGGGATTCCAAAAGAAAAAGGGAAGGAGGGAATGCATTTCAGGGGACAGCCAGTGCAAAGCAACAGAGATTGGAAATGGAGTTTCCAGCATGCCAAATGAATTTAGAGTCCTAGGAGGGGATCAAAGTATAAGAAAATTGGAAAGGTACAAAAAGGCTAAGTTTAAAGAGCTTCAAATAAATAGAGGAGAATTTTTTTATTTGATCTTTGAGGTAAAAGAGAAACTCATGACTTTGTTAGGGGGAGAGATTGTGTGTGTCCATGTGTGAGTGTGTGTGTGTGTGTGTGTGTGTGTGTGTGTGTGTGTGACATAATTTGCATTTTAGGAAAATCACTTGGGCAACTTCATGAAGGATGAGTCGTAGTGGAGAGAGTCTTGATAATGGGAAACCAAGGAGAGTATTACCAGAGTAGTTCAGGCAAGAGATGACAATGGCTGTATTTTAATTAATTTTAAGGTTGGCAGTGCTTGTCTACAATGGCTTTCATTTTTTTCTAGGTCATAGTGCCCTCCTATCCCAGAGTTCTTTTTTTTTTAAGTGAAATTCATCCACTTTTAGAGGGTGTTGGGTGGGGAACTAAGGCCTGAGTGTGTTGGCCTTTCCAAAGAGATTCACTTTATTTTTTTTTTGTTTTGTTTTGTTTTTGTTTTAGGCAATTGGGGTTAAGTGACTTGCCCAGGGTCACAGAGCTAGTAAGTGTCAAGTGTTTGGTCTGAGTCCGAATTTGAACTCAAGTCCTCCTGACTTCAGGGCTGGTGCTCTATCCACTTTACCACCTAGCTTCCCCAAGATTCATTTTATAACTAAAGATCCCAAAGAGAAGAAAGGCATTAACTCACAAAGGAAAGTTTTAAAAGGGGGAGATTTCAGGCAGCATTGATTGGCAGGCAGAGAAACATTTGGCGAGCAGAGGACCTTTCCTGTACCTCTCACATCTTACCACTTATATGGCCACTTGTTCCTAATCCTGTGAATTCTAGAATACATAATTTATTTCTGAAATGACCAATTAATGAATTCACTAGACAAACAGTCTGTCCTGTGCTTCCCCATTCCCTTAGCCCACAGCCTATTCCTGCTTTGCCAGGGTATAGGGAGTTAAGAAATAGAAGATATGTATCACCTAACCTCAGGGCCTTCAGTCAAACACAAGCACACAGCCATTATAGTTAGGCCTCTTAGTTTGATAGATACTTTGGACTGAGTGGAATTTCTCTAGATACTTTCAGGATAGAGATGCAAAAGATATTCCTTGTATAAATCTATACCTTTTGTTCCAGTGAAGCCTACCTGAGAAAGAAGTCTCATTAGAGTAGTGCTCATTTGGCAGTCAGGAATCTTCTTTATCCTGAGTTCAAGCCAGTATGGGAATACTGTGTTAGATGGGTCAGCCTGTTTTTGATAATATGGATCCCCAATGAGCAGGGGGATAAAAAGTTGTTATAAGATTGAGAAGGATAAGAGTCCCCAAGCAATTTAAGTGAAGTAGGTAAGGGCTTCCCAAATTTAATAAGAGTAGAGAAGTCTAGATGTAACACTTCCCTGAATTCTCACAAGTGGCATGAATAAGGGTTCCATTGATAATAATGATATGGATATTACTAAACTGGAGAGATCTGATAGGGAAGTAGGCTTAGGTGATAGAAATCCTTCCAGCTAAAAATAATTCTTTGCTTGAGCAGCATACAGGTCTGTTTTCCATCCCTCTCCCTAAGGTTTACTCTTTCCTTGATAGCTTGTGTTAGTCCCAGGCTCGAGTTCTTCATCTTGCTTATGTCATAGAACTCTTTGAGAGTCTAGTAAATCATATGAATCCTTTCTCAGAAAAATATTTTAAATGTCTGAAATAAAATACACAAGATTACAAAGGAAACCAATTATTTTAAAATATAATTCTTAAACTATTGGGAGGAAAAAAAGAAATTCATAGTTTCTATGCAATCCACCCATGGATTTTCTTGGAAATTCATGGAGCCTAGGCTAGACCTCCTGATTAGGGGGATAAGTACAATATATTCTTCTACTATGGGAATCCGAATGGGTACCTTCTCTCCCCCTCTCTCTGTTCCTCCAATTGTGTTCCAAAGGGACAGTATCTCACATCTGTTTTAATGGGGCAAAAACATCTACCCCAATACCACTTTACCACCCTCATGAATCACACCAGAGAGGAATTTAGACAGCCTCCAACTTTTCTCTTTTAGAACACATGAACAGAGTGCAAAGGAATATAGTCAGGAAGTTAAAAAATAAACAAACAAGCAATAACAATGGCAATAACAGCAAAATGGAAGCAGCGGCCACTGTTGGCCAGCAGACCAGGAGGCAGAGGTCCAGACATCTCCCTCTGTTTCTTCTTCCCAGAACTGAGCAGAAAAGGGTAAGGTTGGAAGCAAAAGCTGAAGGGCAGTTTTCTCATCAGTGTGTCCATCATCCTAGGCAATGGCTTGCTTCTCAGCTCTCCATCATCACTGTCCTGTAGCCAAGGCAAACCAATGCATCCTTAACCTTCAGCGAATTTACATTCTATTGGCAGTAGCTTAGAATTTGAAAGTTTAGGGCCAGGTTATAATCTCACAGGCCAGATAATTTCTAGACTGCAATTTCTTGTGCCCTGGGTGTTATGTTATGAAAGTCTTCTCCTTCTGTAACAAGCCCTGTAAAACCTCATGATAGCTCAGCTGTGCAGAAGGGGGAGCCTATAAGAGGGGCAGAGGCTGGAGATATGGGCAATCAATGGTGGTAGAGGTTGGAGTTTAGGTAGGTCTTAGGATGCAATAGAGCTTTGAAATTTGGACTTGTCAGAACTTTGAACCAGTAAAGTGATAAACCAACATGACAGGAACGTTGGAGCTCTTGACACTCCTGGGTAACTCTTAGGGGTAGGCAGGGTCACCAGGGATTTTCCATCAGTAATCCTGATGTATAAAGAGCTAAGTCACAGGCAGACAATTCATCTTCCCTTCCAAGACTCTGTTTCCATAATTCCTCATGTTTTTATACTGTTCTATGGTTTTTAGAGTTTTCATTTATATTATTTTATTCATTCTGCGAGTGACATTTAAAAACATTCAGATTTAATTAATTTCTATTTAACGATTAAAGAAAGTGGAAACCTAGGAGATTAAGTGATTATATATAATCTTATAAATGGCATAAGCCAGTACTTCTGATACTATACCTCAGTCATTTTTTAAAACTCAACTACTACAGAAAACTTTTCCAGCCTGATTGAGTACACCTAACTCTAGCTACTCCACTCATTCCATCTTTCATTATCACCTACCAACTCCTCAGAATTTGGTTTGACAGCTTTGGACCACTTTCTTTAGTATTTGAATTGATTGAATTTTTTTCTTATTTGCTGACACTCTCACATATCCCCCATCACACTGGAGCATCCCCAAAGACTAGACCAATGCCTGTTTCTTCAGACTGGGAACTCCCCATGGGCGGGGATTCTATTTGCACTATCTGAACAGAGTATCTCTGGGAGCAGGTAATTGGGGGAGATTTATGTCCAGTGTGGGTAGGATGAGGAGATGATGCCCACCTGGGGACTCCAGGTTGGTAGAAGCAGAGCCTTAGCAGAGTCTTCCAGATGCACTGACACTTGATACTATAGATGACAGGGTTGAGAGCAGGTGGTACCAGGAGGTAGGTGTAACCCACCAAGGCCAGAGGCAATGGACCATAACTCCCAAAACGGTGCATGACTGAAAGTCCAATCATGGGCACAAAAAACACTAGGACAGCAGCCACATGGCTCACACAGGTCCCTGCTGCCCGTATTCTCTCTCCCCATGACCCAAGGCCCAGAATCACCCTTGCTATAGGAATATAGGAGAGAATGATGAGGACTGAGTCAATACCAGCTGTAGACAAGATTACAAAAAGACCATAGTGAACATTGACCTCAGTTTCATTACGTGCCAGCTTCATGATATCTGGGTGGAAGCAAAAAGAGTGGGTGAGACTCCGTTGATCATTATAAGTCAGCCTGAGCAACAAGAATGGCAGTGGTAGCAATGTGAGCGCTGAGCGGATCAGCACAGCTACTCCTACCCTTGCAACCACTCGGTGAGTTAAGAGAGAAGAATACCGCAGTGGACAGGCAATGGCAGCCCATCGGTCTACTGCCATGGCTAGCAGCACTGATGACTCTGCCACTGAGGCAACATGAATGAAAAACATTTGGGTCAAGCAGACATCAAAGGCCACCTGACTGATACCAAACCACAGCAATCCTAATGTGGTAGGTAGTGTGGTGCCTGATAATGCCAGGTCAGTAACAGCAAGCATGGAGAGGAAACAATGCATGGGTTCCCGGAGTGATGGATTCCGGGCTACTGCGACCAGGATGGCACCATTGCCTAGAGCAGCTGCCAGGTAAAGAAAGAAGAAGGGAATAGAGAGCCACTTGTGGATATCTTCTCTCCAGGGTATCCCAAGCAGGAGAAAGGCTGGCAATTGGGACATTGTGTGGTTGGATGACATGACCTAGTGGCTGAGGGTGATGGTACTCCATGCAGGGTAGGTAAGGGAGGTCCAAAGGTTTAACCCAACTGTGTGTATGTGGTAGGTGTGTGTGTGTGTGTGTGTGTGTGTGTGTGTGTGTGTGTGTGTAGAAGGGGGTGTCTACTTAGTACCAACCTATGAAGGACCTTAGGGTAAATCCTACATGTAATTATGAGTTCAGTGACCAGTTAGGAGTATTCAAATGTGAAACTGGGCCATGTTAATCTGTCTAGTGCTGAACTTGGAAAACCTGATAGCCTCTGATACCAGGATTAATCTAGGAAGGATTACTCTACTGATATCAAAGTAGAGTTTGAAAGTGTGGCCAATGAGGAAACTCCTGGGTGTCAAGGTAGTCAAGATATTTTCTTCATATACTATGATGACCTTGCTGTACTGGAGGATGACACCTGGGGAAAAAAGAGACAGTATTAGCTCAACCTGGTTACTTATTTAATAGAATCATAGGATTAGGGCATCTCAGAGAGACCTAAGATGCCATCTGTCAGTCAGTCAACAAACATTTATTAAACACCTACTATGTGCCAGGCACTGTGCTAAGTGATAGGGACACAAAGGAGTCAAATGCTTGCTCTTAAGGAGCTCATAGATTAGTTCAATCCATAATGAAATAGGATTTTCTTCCATAGCATACTTGATAAATTTTCATTCCACTTCCAAATGAGGAATTCCAGTGATGGGAAATATGCTGCTTCCTACAATAGTCCATTCTAGCTAAGTCTAACAAAGTAAACTAATTTATATTTACCTAATTCATTCATTTCTCTTGGGGTTAAAGAAAATCCTGCTGTGGATCTAATCTCAGAGATTCTCATTCCCCATGCCTTTGGGCTGAAATTGCTCAGTGACAGCCCCCAAACCTTTTGGGGTCACCCAATTCCCAGGTACCTCAGGCTGTATTCTTGTTTCTCAAGTCACTATAGCCTCTTGACATTGTTGTCTCCAAGCAACATCCCTTATTCAGAACTTTTCTTTATTCTCATTATAACATCCCTATCTCTTGTTGGATCAGGTTTTCAATGCATTCTAAGGTGACACCTTGCTAAATAAATCATGTAGATACACTAATGAGAAGGGGCTAGATCTCAGAATCACAAGGTCCTTTGTTGCTCTAAATCTATGGTGTTATAATTCTCTACCATGAAATAGCATAATCAGAAAAAATCTCAGGACTCGTATAGTCAAATTTGTACCAAAACAAAAATCCTTTCTACAATATAGTCCAAAAATGGCAATTTGGACTTTGCCTGAAGATTTCTAGTGAGGAGGAAACCAATACTCCTTGAGACAGTCAATTCCACTTGTGTTTAGCTCTTATTTTTTAGAACTAAATATAACTCTCCTCAACTTCTATCCATTGTTACTAGCTTTACCATCAAGGGCCAGGACATACATGCTCAATTCCTCTTTCATATGATGCACCATTCAGTTACTTGAAGAAGACAGCTGTGGGATTCTTTCTTAAGTCTCCTTTCCTTCAAGTTAAACATCTTAAGTCCTCTCAACTGGTCTTTGCATTCCATGACCTGGAGGCAGCTAGTCATCTCGATCACTATCCTCTTGGATGGACACCAGCCTGACAATGTCCTTTCCAAAATGTAGGATCCAGAACTGAATGTAACATTCCTTATCTGGGCTGTTTAGGTCAGAGGATTGTGAGACTTTCATCTCTCATGTTCATGTTATTATGTCTGTTAATTGAAGCCAAGTTTGCAATAGTTATTTTGACTTGCCACGTGACTCTTTTGATTTATGATTTTCAGTCATCCAGTCAGGCATTTAATATTTATTAAGTGCCTACTATGTGCCAGGCATTGTGCTAAGTGCTGCGGATACAAATAAAGGCAAAAGACAGTCTCTGCCTTTAAGCAACTTACAGTCCACTGAAACCCCAAGATATTTTTTCACATAATTGTTATCTAGTCACTTCTGCTCTATCTTTTACTTAAAAGTTATGATAGAAATTAGAAAAGTGATTTTGAGCATAAGAGAGGTCAAAAGATATCTTGTGAGACTGAGCTAGTGGGATCATCTTTAGTTGGGAGGGAAGGAGTATAGTCTTGAGCTGTATCTTGAAATTCAAGAAGGATGTCAGTGGGTGGAGATGTTTAACTTACTCTTCTGATAGCCTTCATCAGAAGCAAAGGAAGCAAATATGGAGGAATTCTGAATATAGAACTAAAGAAATGGAAATGTTGACTTGGTGTCTGATGTGATCTGTAACTCAGGAGGATTGCTCCTTTCCCTAGTGTCTGCAATTTTATATTGTGAGGTATATCAGACTGCTTCTGGCTTCAATGAGCCTGTTTTAGAGCAGGGTGAGTGGATGCAATAGCCAGTTAGGGCAAGGACGTATCCAGTAAGGCAGCTAAGTGGTTCAGTGGATTGTTCACTGGCCCTGGAGTCAGGAAGACCATAATTCAAGTCCTGCTTCAGACACTTACCAACTGTGTGACCTTGGACAAGTTGTTCAACATATGGTTTCCGCAGATTCCTCATAGGAAAAATAGGATAGCAGCTCTCTATCTCCCAGGGTTAGAGTTGTTATGAGGATGAAATGAGATATTTGTGAGGTTTTGTATACCTTAATGCACTATATAAATGCAAATTATTATCTATTTCCCTTTCTTCTTGATCTTGAGAATGGCCCCTCCCTGAAGCAGCATATCTCTCTTCTCATTCTTGTCACCATTCTGTCAAATCCTTGAGGCTCTTCTCATAGTGCTGCAGAAGAGTGCTAGATTAGGAATTCTGAGACATGGAATTTTAACTTTGATCTTTACAACTCTGCATCCAGTAATCTCTATGATAGACTGCATTGCCTTTCTGTAGTTCCCTACATCTTTCCTCATTTCCTATTAAGGTTCCACCTCACTCTCCTGGATGACAGATAATAATTAGCCAGTAAGGTTAAGTAGCATTTTAAGAATAAGGAATTAGGGAGAGTAAGTCCCATCTAAGAGCTCTGATGTTGAAAAAGTTGAGAAAATATCAAGAAAGTTGTCCTGGAGATCAATTTTAAGGATGTTCTCCTTTCCTATCTGGTACTATTTCTTTATCATCTGTAAAAGATCTACTCAGACAAGTGAAGTGCCTTATGTCAAAGGAGGCAGGAAAATGGAAATAGTATTGAAAGACTTTTTGCTTGTTTTATAGCTAAGGAAGAAGTCGTAAAGGAAAAGTTATTTAGGTGCAATTTTGTGAAGGGGGTTAGGTTGACACTCCCATTTCTAGACTGAGGTGACATGGTGGATAGAGTGCTGGACCTAAAATCAAGAAAGACCTGAGTTCAAATCTAGCCTTAGACACTTACTAGTTTTGTGACCCTTGGTAAGTCATTTAACCTGTTTCTGCTTCAGCTTCCTCATATAGAAAATGAGGATAATAATAGTACCTCTCTCTTAGAATTTTTTTTTAAGATAAGACGAGATTATATTTGCTAAGTGCTTTGCAAATGTTTTGTTTGTTTGTTTTGATGAGGCAATTGGGGTTAAGTGACTTGCCCAGGGTCACACATCTAATGAGTACCATGTGTCTGAGGCCGGACCTGAACTCAGGGCCTCTTGACTTCAAGGCCAGTGCTCTAGCCACTGCACCACCCAGCTGCCCCTGCAAATCTTAAAATGCTATACAAATGCTAGCTATTATTATTCTAGATTGCTTTTAAGATTTATATGACACAAGTGGGTATGCACTTGATGTTTATTCCAGGTAATACTTGAGGTGCTACAGTAGCTATAGCAGCCCACACTGGCTCCTGACTTTCCCTTTCCGAACTTACAGAGTTGTATGCTATCACTTCACCATTAACTAGCAAAGTCTCAATAATCTGCACAAGTGCTTACACGAAGGACACTCTCAAGATATCTCTGAAGAATTTTATTATCTACTGTGTGATATGGAAAACACTGGCACAGGACTGTCCAGCATGGTGTGCCCACATCAAAGAAGGTGCTGTACTCAATGAGCAAAGCAGAATGGTAGAAGCACAAAGGAAACATGAGCTACGCAAATCCAGAGCTATTTCCATTCCAAATGTTCTAATAGACCACTTGTGCCAGATCTGTGGCAGTGCCTTCTGAACTTGTATTAGTCTAATCAGCCATAGACAAACATACTGTTTTCAGCCTCCAACATTATGATGTTATTGGTTTTTGAAAATGAAGGACAAACAGCAGTCGCAACACAACCACCAGCAAGAGTATGTAGATAATAATTTTGCTCAGCAGGGGGTGATCTTATCCAGCTCCCAGAGCTGGGGTCCAGCCAAGAAAGAACCTTTTGACTTGTAAGCAAAAGATTATTTTTCTGCCCAAGCACAGGCAGTGGAAACAGCCCAAGCAGCCAGCTTAAGAGTGTGCAATAGGCAACATTGGATGACTCATATTTTGTATGAATCTAAGATTTCATGCAAATTTTTGGTCATAAATACACACACACACATATGTTTTCTGATTGGATCATAAGATTCTTGAGGATAAGGGCATCCATTTGCCTTTATTTGTATCTCTAGCACTTAGCACAGCGCCTAGCACATAGTGGATGCTCAATAAATGTTTATTGACTGACTACAAATTTATAACTCCAGAATCCTATCCCTTACTCTCTGGGAAATCTCCTAGTTTAATTTCCACCCCTCTATAGTGATATTACTCAGGTTATCAAATCTTCTGTTGCCATATCATTTATCAGTGTCTCTTTATCCATATCAGGTATGAAAAATTGCAAAGATAGTAAAATGCTCTCTTTATGGGGCACGATTGTCTCCTCCGTCCCTTTCCCTCAACCACTAGTTGTGCAAAGAGAATAAAAGTGGTAATGTTGCTCCAGGGCCAAGTTCTATGTCCTAGATCAAAACTGAAAGCAATGAGGCAGGTGTTAGCAGGTCTTCCATCCTTCTTAACAGATACTGAGCTTTTCAGAAGCTGCTCTGGCTCTCAGTTCAGTCTGGGTTCTGCTCATTGGCCCTGACTGATTTCTGATCCAATTCAGTTGTCTTTCTGCTCCTCTTGATACTATCTGTCAGCACACTTCCATCTTTGTTCAGTAACATGTGAGTAGGAACAAAGAAGGCTGATGGTGGGAGTAATCCAAAGTAGTTTGTCAAGGAGTGATCTGACATAGGACAAGACAACAAGTTATTTAACAGTAGAAAAGAGTGGAGAGTTGGACTGGTTCATTAAGGGTATTAGATTGGGATGAGAGGAAAATATAGTCAGAGCAAGGATGATGACAGGAAAATATGGAGGGGTGGAAACACTGGAGGTTGAAGTGAGGATGAAGAATAGGGTTCAAGGTAATAAAGTATAGGGAGAGCTAGAATGAAAAAAAATTTTGATTAGGTAAAGAATTTTAAGTCCTTACATATGGAAGAACACCTGTAAGTGATAGCAAGATCAAATTTGTAATTATGCCTGGGTATAGTGTAAGGGTTGGACATTGAGTTAGAGAAATAGCCATGGGAGTTGCAATATATTATTGAAGAACAGGAAAGTTAGATTATTTGAAGGTACACCAACATGAAAGGAGTAATTAAGCTAGAGAAAGAAATTGTGAGGTAATTAATTCATTGAGAAATAACAGAGAATGTCCCAGAGTCAGTAGATAATGGCCAACAGGATATAGATTAGGCAACAAATTTGGGTGAGGTAAACCTCAAAGGAGGAGAGGATACTGAATGATCAAGGTAGAGGGAGAGTCTAGATGTAGTGATAAGGAATAAGTAGTATCCTGCTCCCCCTACTGGAACCAGTGAGTTGATATTGAGGGAGAGGGAGTGTAGTATGAGAGAAGCTGCAACACATGCTGGAAAAACCAGGGATTACATGTCATCTATGGGAATGCATGTCTCCATTTGTGCCAGAAGATGAAAGGAGCAAGAAAGAAAGAGATCTAAAATGAAAAGAAGCATATTAATTATGGAGTAGGAGTAGGAAGGGTAAGAATACTTAAAGTGGGATATGGAAAAGGTAGGGTGCAGGAGGATGGAGATGAGGGAACACACAGTAAGTATTAGGGAGGGGAATTTAATTTTCATCAGTATGAGGTATAATATCACTAGGACAGAAAGATTCAGAATGGGTGAGAGAATGTTAATCATTGGACAATGAGTGCAAACAGGTTCACAGATGAAGAGGGTATGATATGAATTATGGCCTCACCAAGGAGATTGAAATGGAGTGATGGTTAGTAGAAGAAAAACCTTGGGAAAGTAGCCCATGAAAGTCCTGAGGGGTGACAGTATCTAGCAGGAGAAGGTGGTCATCAGCGTCAAATACTGCAGAGATTGAGGATGATGAGTGAGAAAATGCCCAAGTTATTTCTTACTAATCTACAAGGCAGTTAGCCACCAAGTTTGTTTCCATTTCCCTATATGGCAAGGAAGAAAATAATGAATCTCAAGGGCAAATAGGAGGAAGGGAAAATCATCTACAAAAGTATGTCCACAATTTTCATGAAACCTCTTGCCCTTTGAAGTATGACTTTGCTTAATACCAAGGAAAGGAAGATGGTAAATGCCCAGTGAGTGGAGGTAGGAAGATTATCATCAGTATCTGCTCACAATTTGTTCTCTTTAAATTATGATTTTTTTCACAATAATTTTATAGTAGCATCCCATTTTCCAACAAAGAAAATGAACCTCAGAGAGGTAAAAAGACTGGCCTAGTGTCACGCAGTCATTAAATAGCCAATTTGAGATTTAAATTCAAGTCTGATTCTCTATTTTTACTGTATCAGGCTATGTCCTATTAGAATGGCTTTGCTATGAATATGTACCTTGTGGAAATATTTTCTTTTGAAATTAAAAGCCCTTGGACTCTCCATATATGAGAATTCTCTTTTTTCTCTCGCCTTCTCCCTATAGCTAGGCTGGGATAGCTACATCCCTGCTCTGTACAGGGGCTGGCCTTCTCACCAGCCTCTCTGAGTCACAGTGAGAACTGAGGCCTAACCTGGTGCTCTGAAATCACCCAGCCAACATAAACATGGCTAAGATTCAGGCCTGGACTTTTATTGTCCTTGCTCCCCAGAGACACTGTTTCACTGGAAAAATTTTCCCTCACAGAAATAAGTACCTGTTTGGCTCTCATGACCCCATTGGCCCAGCACAACAGGGGCCAAAGTCTTCTGAGCTGGCTCAATTACAACAGCTCCTGAGAGGTCCCCTCCTCCAGGAAGTCTTTTGGGAACACAGAGAAAAAGCCCCTGTGATCTTCCCCCATCTTGTAAGATAGTGGGTTCACCATTACTGGTGGTCCTCAATTGCATGTTGCATGACCACTTGCTAAGGAGGTTGTAGAAGGGGTTCTGGGGGTGTGATTGAATATTCTCTCTTCAGCCCCTTCCAGCTCTGAGACTTTGTCACTATGCTTCTCCAAAGAGAACTCTTTCCTCCAAGGACAACATTATTCGGAAGGGCAAGTTTGTGGTATTAAAATATCTCCCTGAAGAATATGTACTCTCAAGATGGTGGAGTGAAAGCAGTGACTTGCTTGAGCTCTCCCCCAAACCCCTCCAAAAT